AATTTTTTACGATTAATTAAATAAACTTTCTACCATTTTAAAACATTGCCTGTTATACCATGATATTTTAATTTTAGCAAGAATTGTATGATCAATTGTATCAAACGCTTTTGTTAAATCAATAACTATTTCCAATGTGAGTTTAGAATTGTTAATTGAGTTTGATATACTTCTTGTAAGCTGAATAGAAGCATACTCTATTGAATTATTTTTTTTGAATAGATGTTGCATGTTATATAATAGTTTTTTTGTTAAAAGGTGATTGTATATTTTTTTGTACAACATTTTTTCTAAAATTTTAGAAAAAACAGAGGGGATGGAAATTGGACGATAGTGTTTTACATTAGTTTTTTCCCCTTTTTTATTTAGGAATAATTTTGCTATTTTTAAACAATCAGGAAAAACTCCCTGATTAATAGAGCATTTAAAAATTTGGGAAAAGTATATCTTTTAAAACGTCAAAACAGCTTATAATAATATTCCCATTGACATCATCAGGATTAACTGCTTTAATTGACTTTAACGATGTAGCGGAAGAGTGTCGCAAAATTTTGATTTTGGCAAATTTTTATTGTCGCAAATTTGATTGTCGAAAATATAAAAAAAGGAAGTGTCGCAAATTGTCATATTATTGATTGTCGAATAACAGAATCAGGAATAATGTCGCAAATGAATTTAATGAATAGTGTCGAAAATAGAAAAAAGGAATAATTTCCTAAAAGAGTTTAATGAATAGTAAAAAAAATAAAAAAATTATAATAACTATAAATGTGTGTTTAGATAACATGTCTAATGTCTTTCTGAAATATCCTGCTGCAGGTGGCTTCAGTACATACACTGGTAAAGTGCCGCCGCCGCAAAGGAGTGCCACTACATCGACTGAGGGTTTGGGATTTGGTAGCAATCTTTTCTCTTATTTTTCTTTGTTGTTTTTGTATTTATAATAATGGTATTTAGCACATATTGATGTTACTATATGCTAAGTTTCATAGTTTTTACTTGAAGTTTTACAAGAACTTTTATGTTTTTTTCTAACGTTCGAAACCGTGACGGTCGTAACGAAAAATCCAATGCCTAGAAACAAAAAATAAAATGACAAAATCGATGATTTAAGAAAAAAAGTATAAACGATTATTAACAAACATGTATATTATGTTTAAAAAATGCACTATAACATTATCAAAGTTCTTAATTACGGATATACGGTACGATTTTTAACGCTACACAACAGGACTATAAATAAGCGTCAAAACACAAAACATTTATGAAGTTTAGTATATGCTTTCATAACTTTTTTGTTTGTTTTATTTTCCTTTTTCTCACGGAATTGCCCATATATATATATATATATATATATATATATATATATATATATATATATATATATATATATATATATATATATATATATATATATATATATATATATATATATATATATATATATATATATATAAATTAGTAGAAAATCGCTTAGCAAAAATTTTTTCTCATTTAACACTGTGTTTCATCAATAAAGACTCATCAGAAAATTTTTTTTTTTTCTGATGAGTCTTTATTGATGAAACACAGTGTTAAATGAGAAAAAATATTTGCTAAGTGATTTTCTACTAATTTGTAATTGCTCTGTTCTTTTAAGAACATTGAGCACTCTTTTAAATTTTAAATTGTTTAAATATATATATATATATATATATATATATATATATATATATATATATATATATATATATATATATATATATATATATATTTTTTAAAGTTGATTAAGGTGCCCCAAGAAATCCTTACGGTCTTATCGCAGAGCACCGCGGAAGAGCATTAAATAGGAAGTTCACGCCTCCTTCCCAACCGATGTCGCAAAACTTGCCCAGAGGTGGGGTTTGAACCACGGGTCTTACGTATATATCTTATATACGTATATATCTTATACATATATATATATATATATATATATATATATATATATATATATATATATATATATATATATATATATATACTGCCGTCCTAAGAAAAAACGCAGTAATCGCAAAAATTGAAAAATCGAGATTATTGCACCAAACGTTTTAACATCGTTTTCTGTGTAATAACGCTCTATATAAAAATATTGTGGTATATTCCGAAGTCATCAAACCCATAGTTCATTTTGCCGTAAGTTAAAAAAATATATACACACAAAATTTAAAAGTGGCTTTTTCTCAGAATGTCATTTTTGTTGTTTACTGCGTTTTTACTTAGGGCGGCAGTATATATATATATATATATATATATATATATATATATATATATATATATATATATATATATATATATATATATATATATATATATATATATATATATATATATATATATATATATATATATATATACATATTTTATTATATAAAATTCATGAAAATATTTTAATACAATTTATGTTATCAATTTTTGCATGTAATATTAAGGAAAAGTGTGCAATGTGAATCAATACCCTTTTTTTATATATATAAATAGTTTGCATAAAATTTTTTTTATATTTCTTAAACAGAAAATCCATAATGGCGGAAAATGTGTTGATATTGACCCTTAAAAATGATGTTTTTGAAACATGATACCTTGATAAAATAAAATAATAATTAAAAATCCTTTTGCATATATGTATATTATAATATTATACTTCGGATGACCCTTAGGATTTGTATAAACCATTTTACTTAATGAGTAATTAAAGTTTTTGCAAAAATACTTTTTTTTCAACAAATGTAGATACAAATTTGCACCTAAACTGAATTTTTATAAGATATTAGGTAATCCGGAGTATTAGATTATATCAAACACAAATTCAAAAAGTTAAATGTTCAGTTCGACTCTCTTCAACGAGTTATCATGTTTTGAGTTATAACAAGTATGCAAAAAAATTAAAAACAGAGAAAAGTCCAAAATAAAAATAAAATGTTTAAAAAATAAGTTATCTTCACAGTAAGAATCAATTTGAAATAAATCTACTGATTCTTTTTTACCCATTTTTATTTAAAAAATTCCTTTGTGAACTTTTTATCCATTTGCTTAATGCATGAATTATCTAACTTTGTTTCAACAGCCTTTGAAATCTTTCCATTTGAGCTAAAATGTTCTAAAACCTTCAATATTCCTTTCGCCCATCGTCAAAATAAATAATAGCTGAATGTACACCCATTTCTATAGTTTCCCTGCCAACAAAAAAATTTTTTTGTAAATTTTTTGTAAACAATACAAAGTATAAATTTTTCAACAGTACTGTTACAAAATATCAGCTTATTTATCTGTCTAAGTTATGATTGTGACTTCAAAATATAATATTTAGACTGATAAAGACATATAGCAGATACACCTTAGTATATGTTAAGAGTAAAATAAGGCATATATAATGAGAGGAAAATAAATAATAAACTTCTGTTCATGGTATCTAGGGACGTTGCTATAGGCTCTGATGCTACCTAAGCATGTTTTATGATGTAAATATGGACCAAGAAATATTTTTTATTGTTTCCATTGCTAATTGTGTGAAAATAGACATATTAAAGAGTGAAATTCCACATTAAAAAAAAAATTCTCAAAATATTTTTTTTGATCATTTATTTGCATCCCTACCACCTTAATGAAGACTTAGAGTACTTCTTCATTTAAGTTTAAATAAGCAAAAAAGCGTTCAGGTTAACTTTACTACCGACCCCAGTCTTTCTACCAGTAAGATGATGCAGATTTGATGCATTTAACCCATTATTTTGGTTTTTTATTATGCAACTTTGAATTGTTGTTGTTTTAGCCTTTTTTTTCTTTATGAGGTTTTTTACTAAATCCCTCGGTAATTTTCAAAATTTTTTTTCGAAAGATTTAATTTTGACACGGTTGATGATTTTGTAGTTCTGACACAATTTATTTTGTAAGATTTAAAGCAAACTTTACACATGGCTTCAAACTAGTTTAGCTTTTTAAAGAATCACCAATGTAACTTTTTTCGGCATCTTTAATAAAAAAAAAAAAAAAAGTTGCTCGTAAAACAACCAAACCATATTATAAACATAAATAAATAAATATAAAAATTTATTTTTATATTTATTTATTTATGTTCATAATACGTATAATTTTTTTTTTTAATTAAAAAGTATAATTTTTTTCACAAGTTTAAATTGAAGATTACTAAGCATAAATGATTTTAATTTAGTACTAAGGGATTGTCTATAAACTACGTCATACTATAAAGGAGGGGGGAGGCGCAAGGGATTATTAGTTTTGTGACAACTCGAAAGGGTTTTGTTAGTATAAAATTTACTATGTTGTGACAAGGGGAGGGGGTTGGAAGGCGATTAAAAACGGTCAAAAATTGCGTGATATGATTTGTGGAAACGACATCTGATTCAAATTAAAAAAAAACTTTTTATAGATTTTTTCAGTTTTTTCGGTTTTGGTATGATTTTATTTTAGTATTTTAAATAACTAAAACCGGTTCTTTTTGATTTTTTGGTTCATTTTCACAAATAGAATGGTTTAAGAGGCAGCCGTAGAGCAGTGGTTACCGCGCTTGCCTCAGAAGCTAGAAATCCATGGTTCTTTGACATGTCTGGGCAAATTTTACAACATCGGTAAGGAAGAAGGCATGAACTTCCTTTCAAATGCTCTTCCATGGTGCTCTGTGATAAGACCGTAAGGACTTTTTTGGACACCTAAAATAAATAAATAAGTAAAAGAACGGCTTAGCTCTTCATTTCTACACCATTCCTTTATTTTACGACATTAGACCTTTTAATATATTCGACACTATTCCGAAGTTTATTTTCGACACTAATAACAGTTATGGGTGACAATAATATATTACGGCGCAATGACGGTATATGAAAACCGTTCGCCGTATACGTAAATAATGATGACCCATCGTCGGCTGAATGATGGCGTTATGCAGGTTAGTATTACCTTAGCCCGCATTTTATTAAAAAGTTTAAATTTTTATTACTACTGCTTATGATAAATGTCCGCAGTAATAAATAAATATATATTTTATTTAAATTTTATTAAATTTATAAAGCTTATTTTTACGTCTTTAGTGCATTAAATAGATTTTTTAGGCGATAAAACTTTCTTAGCGCATACTTCAGTTATCGTTCGTTTGATTGAGAGAAACCGCAATTTTGTAATTGAAAGTTCAGGACAAACAACACATTTAAAAAAAAGAGAGAAAAGAAATATACCAGAGATACGTGGTGGCAATGTAACACACTTATCTATTCTAACACTTAAAATTTCAATTTTTTAATGGTAAAAAATCATGGAAATATCAGGACTATCTAAAGAAGTATCTATTGATTTTGTAGCTGGTGCTGTTGGTGGAGTATGTTGTGCATATGTTGGCCAACCTCTTGACACTATTAAAGTAAAGATGCAAACGTTTCCTGATATTTATAAAAGTAGCATTCGTTGTGCCAGCGAGACTTTTTATAAACATGGATTAAGGCAGTTTTATGCCGGTTCAGTTCCAGCTGCTGCTGCAAATATTGCTGAAAACTCTGTTTTATTTCTATGTTATGGACAGTGTTCGAAGATAGTTGCTTACATGTCTGGTACAAATAAAGATAACATGTCTTTAATTCAAAAAGCACTTTCAGGTTCATTTGCATCATTTTTTGCAGCATTTGCATTATGTCCCTTGGAGCTAATTAAATGTAGAATGCAGACAGTTAATGAACTTGGGAGCAATAAAAAAATGTAAGTAAAAGTAAATATCTCATTGGTTAATTGCACTTTTAATTTAAAAAGTATTAAATACAGTCTCTGAATTAGATAGTAATTAATTATTATGAACTGATATGAAGCTTTAGTTTTTTTTAAATTTATGTTTAAATAAATAAGGTTCTTAATGTTTTAGAACGCCTTTCAAAATTGTTAGAGAAGTTCTTATACGCGATGGTCCACTAGGTTTTTACCATGGTATTACATCTACTATTCTTCGTGAGGTACCTGGTTATTTTTTTTTCTTTGGTGGCTATGAAGGTACCAAAGTATTATTGGCAAATAATGAGGAAGAATTTGAAAACCCTGGTAAGTTTAAACATATTCAACAAAAAAATAATAATTCCAAAGAATAAAAGTTGAAATTTAGTTTATGTTAGTTTAATCAACAAAGAAGCTGTTGCTAAAAAGGTGAATCACTGTTTTCTGTAAATAATGTAAAAAAAACCAACTTGTCGCTTTATGAATTTTAGCTCCATATTTTTTATAATTTTCAATAGTTGTTTTGTTTTTTATTTTGTATTGTTTTTTTATCAGCATGTGTGAGTATTGTCATGTGTAAATATAACTGTACTTAATAAAAAACATAACAGGTTTGTACGAATAATATAAAACTGCTCAGAATCCTGGCGGCTAAAACTTTTTTAGTGTTGAAATCTGAAATTTTATTTTTCTAACACAGCTCTAGAGTTGAACCATTTTAGATTTCTTTGTTTGGAATGATGTGGATGTTGACAGAAAGTTTAGTGAATCATTTTCTGTTTCAGAATTTTCTTTTCTTTCATTTTAATTTACTTGTTGAAGATTTTGATTTGCACTTTATGGAAATTTTAGTTTAGATTTAGTGAAGGGGGACGGGGTCTTGATAAAAGGTTGGGTGGAAATTTTTTCTTAAGTCTAATTTCAATTTATTGTATTATAATCAAAACCTTGCAAAAGCAAATTAATATTTTTTACTGAATATGCAACTTAAAACAATTCTAGACTGGCTTGTGGTCAAATTATTTAACCACTGTTTTATCATAGTTTCTATAGAATTTAATATGTTTATATAAGTTTTATGCTAGGTTTATGATCAGTTAATTCAACACCCATTTTGGTCAATATATGTTTACCTCACATACTTATATACACCTCACATTCTAATATACATCATTGAAATCTTCTAAATCTTACCAGATAGTGATCTTTTTAAAACCTTTAAAAACATTCTTAGTTGAAGAGTTTACACGCCATACTGATTTAGGGAACTCTGAGGGCTTGAACACATACATTGACTGATATAGGGAGAATATACTAAAAAGATGCTGCTACATTTACTGGGGGTTTGGATTGCAGTAGCGATGTTATTTTTTTTTTTTTATATATATATATATATTTTTGTTGCAAAAAAGCAACAGTTTTAATTCAGCAAAAAGTTGGTATATAAAGATCTATATGTGTTGTAGTGTAAAATATGGAGTATGTAGTATGGAGAAGACCAGCATGTCATAGTTTGTCAAAAGCCTTATATATCAAGATATATCAAGTGTAACAGCCCTTGTCTTGCTGCTTCCATCTGATGCATGATAGAACCTTTCTGTTATAGCAGTGGAACGATATTGATTGCTACAGAGTAAGTTTATCATAATTACTTTAGAGTTGACTTAATTGGAAAGATTGTGGAGCATTATTCTGTTGTATTTCACGATCTACTATATATTTGAAATTTTTTTTTTAAACAAGTTTTCGTTTGCTATGAAAGTAATCTTGAATAATACTTTGGCGTTTCATTAAACATTATTTTTTGTTTCCTAAAAGAAAAGACTTGACTCAATATTTAAGTATAAATCAAACTAATGGAAGTATAAATCAAACTAATGGAAAACACTTATAATTATAATTAAAATAATTTTATATATTATAGTAGTGGAAAACAGAATTGTAGGTTGGTATTAAGACTAATTTAATAATGATCAAAAAAATTTTATATACAAAAAGCAATAGTTATTTTGTAAAAGCAACTTAGAATTTTTTTTTACAAAATAATTATTGCTATCATCCTCAAGCTTGTAAAGCTTGTGGGGATCGAACTCGGAACTTATCACTTATGAAACAAGTGTTTTACCACTATACCACTACTGCATTTAACAAAATACTTGTCACATACATTTAACAAAATACTGGTCACTACATTTAACTAGAGAGCCCAGATATACTCAGAGAGCGGACATATGTGTGATTGTTTTTGATTGGATGTTCGATTTTTATGGTTTTTGACACCATGTTTTTGCTAAAATAAACTAACTGCGAGTGAACTTGCTAATATTTGTTAAATATTTTTAATTTTTGAATTTTTGTTAAACATTTGTAAAAGTTTATGAAAACTAATATGAGTGTAATAAAAATGATATGCTTTAATTCTTGATGAAATATCAATAACTGAAAGTGTTAACTATGATACATATCAAGCTCATACTATGGAATTGTTAGAATATCTTAACATTATGGCCAAGCTAACCATATTTTAGTTTTTATGCGTAGAGGAATATCTAAGCGATGAAAATAAACTGTAACATATTATTATAGTAAAAATTCTGTTTATAAAAGTGCAAATAACCACTCAATGCGGAGATCTTTTAGCATAAGCTGTACTTAAAGTTATACTTTTTCCAGTTTAAATAAACATCTATATGACTCAAGTTGTTCTATTGATTTTTTAGCAAATGTGCTTCATTTATTGAAGAATATAAGAATATCTCTCTTATTTAACAAACTTTTCATAGTTATAGCTGGAATTCAAAAAATATATATACTTCTATCAAAATTCCTGCAACAAGCTTGTTAACATTCTAATTATGGGTTTGAGTTACAGCTAATAATAATTACAGCTATGAATTTAAAAAAAAAATGCTTTTATCACTAGTTATAGATTCAAAATTCCTTCACAAACTTGTTGACGTTCTAAATATGGATTTGATGTTTACTTATAAACTTAGAATCTTGATGAAAAACATTTGATGTTTACTTATAAACTTGGAATCTTAATGAAAAACATTTGATGTTTACTTATAAACTTAGAATCTTGATGAAAAACATTTTATGTTTACTTATAAACTTAGAATCTTGATGAAAAACATTTAATGTTTACTTATAAACTTAGCATCTTGATGAAAAACATTTGAACAAAACAAAAGTATCAAGAGTATTATATTGTAATAAATCATAATGTAAGTTGTGGATTAAAATTTATTGCAAATAAAAAAAGACCATTCTATACTCACAACGGCTCGATTTAACTGAATCATTGATAAATGGTTTACACTTAAGACATCGCAAAACTCTACTATGGCTTTTAGTATAAAAAATCGCTAAATTTACAATGAAACAAAAGCTTTTTTCAATGAAGTTATAGAGGTACTATGTGGATTTTATGTATTGAGCTAAAGTAAAAAAGGTGGAAACTTATTCCATCTGGTGTTATTTTGTTAAAAACCAAATATTCTTTTTGAAAAAAAAAAAACTTTTAATACGAAATTGCCATTTACCCAAAACTAACTACTAAAAAAGTATTTACAACTGGTACATTCACAAAACAATTAATTCCAACAGCTTTTCAATACAAAAATAACTTGAAACTTATTTGTGTTACTTAACTCCTAAAAACATTATCAAAGTGCAGTTACAATACCATAGTATAATGACCATCAATTCTTATTGTGTTTTCTTGGCTTAGTTAATAGTATTGTGGACAATTTACAATAAAAAAGAGCACATTGTTTTACTCAAAGATTTGGGTAAAATGTCAAGTTTAATCTTGAGTAATACTGAGCAAAACTGTTTTTTTATAATGTATTTTATGTAATTTTTTAAATATATATGAGTTCTAGAGTTAAAGAAATTTAAAGAATTTTCCTAAGTTGTTTTGAATCTCAATATTTTAAAAAATAGAGTAAATTCTGATTATACAATGTTTGTTACATACAAACAGCCCAATGTGGGAAGTTTTTTTTTTTTTTTTTTTTTTTGCTAATGAAACAAACTTTGCTTTTTTTTTTTTTAATAGAATTAATATTTAGATCATTTTAGCCATAATTTTTTACCTAAAAGAACAGTAATTCTTTACTTGAAAAGAAAGTCAATTGATGAATAAATCAAAACTGATGAACAAATTCAAAGTTTAGTTTTTATCATAATTGTAATTCTCATTAACATCATCGAAGCTTGAAAACAGTTTTCAAAAATTCAGACCTTTGTTTGTATTATTTAATTTTTAGCCTTAAGAAAAAAAATGAAGTAAAAAAATTATTTTGAACTTGGCAGCAAGATATGACAATGCATGCATTGGCTTTAAAATAATACATTCAACTAAAACTAATTTATAAAAAAATTGCAAAACTTTTTTAAGGTTTTTTGTTAAATTATTTATAAATTACTTTTGTTAAATTACTTTTAAATTATAAATAATTTTTAGACGTTTTTTTTTTTTTAAATTTATTTGTTTGCTAAATAAATTTTTGTTTAATAAATAATTTTATTAAGGAACTGCAAAAAAAAACATCAAATTTTTAAATTTTCAAAAAAAGTTTTCGTTTAAAATATTGTGTTTTACAATAGTTTTTATTTAAATTCATTTAAGTCACGCAATAATTTGGCAAAAACATGGCTGTCGTTTTCTGTATGTCTGCTCTCTGAGTATAAAGATTCTCAACATTTAACAAGATGACCGTCAAGATGGGTCGTCCATAAAATATGTATGCCAAAATTTTTAAAATCTGACCCCCTCCCCCCTGTTGCCATGCGTATTTCTAAATCCTCCCCCCCCCCCCCCCTCCCTCCTAAAAAAATACATTTGTTTTTAAAATACCTCCTCCCCCTCCCCCTCAACTTTTTCTTTCAATGAAGAAGTTTATGAAAAAAAAAAAAAAGTGAAGGAGGTACCTTAGCTACTTTATATGACCTAAAAGCTCTTCGTTTGGGTCACAGGATCCGAATTTAACAAACCTCTTCAAATATATATGCAAATATTAATTTAAATATAGTTAAATTACCTTTAATCATAGATATATAAATTACTGGATACAGCATAGGCAGAAATAATTGAAACCAAGCAAACTTTGCCTTGATAACGTAGAGTGAGGCAGAAAAATATAGTTTAATCAGTGTATATTATGAACAATGTTTATAATTTAATTTCAAGTTATATTTTGTATTGTATAATTCATAAAACAATTACTTGGAAGGAATTGGAATTCATTTATAGTTTATATATATTTTATTTACAGATGAACTTAATAAAATAAATCTTAGCTGACTCAAAATTATAAGATTTTAAAAATCCAAAAAAAAAGCTTATCAAATAATGCAATGTAAATAATATTTTGATTAAAATAATATACCACAAATTACCTAATGAACTTGTATAATGTTGTATAATGCAAGGTTTATATGGAGCTTTGAGACTAAAATTGAATATAAAATTATACATCTATATTTATGTATAATATATTTATCTATAATATACATATATATTTATGTACAATATATTTAAAGATTTAGTACTTGTTTTAAAATGGTTAATTCGTGCAGTGCTTTTGGGTGTACAGCTAGATCTGCTAAAGGGGTCTCCAGAAGTTTTCATACAGCTATTCACGAAAGTTTAAACGAGAGTGTAATTTTGATCAAGTAGGTTTATTTTTTTCTTAATAAAAAAATAAATAAAAATGATGTCAACTTAATTTTATTTATTTGTTAAATAAAAAGTAGTTTGGTTTAGAATAAATGTGAACTTGTTATGAAATGATTTATATAAATTTAAAAAAAGTTAATTACAAACATAAACATGTGAAAAATGAGTAGCACAAAAGTTTAAACAAAATTTTACAAACAAATAAAAAATGGAAATAAAATGCCAAGTTAATATATAAAATGTTCGCCTTTGTTTTTATAGCAAAGGTAAACTCGTTTCTGCATCGATTCAACTAATTTCATGCACATCTCTCGAGGTACCTTCAACCAGTACTCATTCAAAACTTGCTTTAAGTGCTCAGTTGATTGTATTTGGTAATAAGTAAGTTGATTGTCAATCCAAGACCAAATATTTTCAATTGGGTTGAGATCTGTTGATCTAGGGCACCAAAAGATCACATTTATCTTTTTCTGCAAAAAATATTCTTTGATTGATTTAGCTGTATGAGCTGGAGCCCCGTCTTGTTGAAAGATAAATTGCTTGCTTCTACCATACAACTGTCTGATTGATGGAATTAAACACGTTTCCAATGTATTTTTGTAGGTGTTCTGATTTATTCGGCCTTTGTACAACTCACACATACCGATACCTTTGTGAGAAAAACATCCCCAAATACCAATGGAACCTCCACCGCCTTGTCAACGTGGTTGCAAAAACCATTCTGAATATTTCTCCGTTGCAAATCTTTTGACATATATTCTTCCCTTGCGGTTTACAACTTGAAAATTAGCTTCATCATTCCAAATATCTTTTAACCAGTCTTCAACAGTCCAGTTTAATCTTTCTTTTGACCATATTTGTCGTTTACGTCGGTCCATGATTGATAAAATAGGTTTTCTTGCTGTAATGTACGTTTCAATACTTTTTTGCAGCAATGTTCGCCTAACAAGCTCTCTGCTTACACTATGTTTATTTTTCGACTCGTTGAAGATTTGTGCTAGCTTTTTGTAGCTGTGCCTAGGATTCTCTCTGGAGCTTCTGAATATGCTATTTTTTTCACGGTCACTAAGCTTCGATGGTCTCGCGGAATGCGGCATGTCAACGACGTCTTTGGTAAGCTTCCAGGTTTTGACTGTTTTTTGTACGCAAGATTCAGAAAACCCAAGTTTTTTGCCTATTTGAACGTTGCTGTGAATTTTTGACTTAGACATACCAATAATTTGCCATTTGATATCACTTGAAACTGGTTTTCGCCCCATTTGCACGCAATTTGAAATTGTTTGAAATTTGCAATGATTTCAGTTGATTTTCGTTGAATATGAAGCTGTTGAATAATGTTGTGACAATTTTTATTGACTGAAAACCACTCAATCTACTTATGTTTATGTTTTAAAACAATTTTTGCAACGGATTAATTAATTACTTAACAAATAATTGAATTTTAATAAACTCTTTTAAACTTTTATGACACCAATTAATTTCTCACATCTATCTATTAATCAAATTCCCAAGAGATCACTTATGAGTCGAAACCTACTTTTTTTATTTATTTTTGATCAGAAAACCTAGTTACCGAATGGGGAAAAATTATTTTAATATCTATTTCCGTTACATTTTTATTAAAGAAAAACCAAAGATTTGTTCTTTACACCCTCGTTTAAACTTTCGTGAATAGCTGTAGGTAAGAATTTAGTAGCTATATAATAAAAAGATTTTGTTTTTGAAGAATCAATAGAAATTTATTATGTTGATTTTAAAAGACAAACACTGTATGTATAATGAATTCTAGCTATGCATTTTTAAATAGATTTCCTGTCAATCCAGATAAAAAAGCAGCATGGGTTCTTGCAACAAAGCGAAAGAATTTTGTCCCCACTTCTGCTAGTTTTATTTGTTCAGATCATTTATCTAAAAATTGCTTTGATGAAAGCAAAATATCAGGTTACTGTTTGAGAATAATCTGAAACCTGATGCAATACCAACAATTTTTGATTTTCAAAAACATTTAAAACCAACCACTAGTAAAATTCGAAAAACACTAACAGAAAGAATGCTGAAAAACAGATAGAGAAAGAAAAAAATGACACAATTTTTGAGAATACTTATAAAGAAAAGGTTATTAGTACAAAGAAAAAAATGAGTGTAGAAGATTGCATGGAAACTGATTCAAACAACTTGCAAACTGTCTACAAGAAATTGTCTTTTGTATTAAATGCTTATAAATTACAGAAAAAAACGTATCAAATGTGTAATGCAAAAAAAAACGCAGATTAAAAAAAAATTTCAAAACTTCAAAATGTGATCAATGAATTACAAGAAAAACGTTTAATTAGTGATGAAGCCACACCAACTTTAAATAGTCCTGGTGTTAATGATTTAATTTAAAAAACTGAAATCTAAAAGCCAATTAAAATACTCTCCATCATTGCAAACTTTTGCATTAACATTGCACTTTTATTCAGCAAAAGCGCATGATTATGTCAGACAGTTCTTCGACACTTGTCTTCCTTACCCAAATACTTTGAGAAAATGGTATAGTAGTATTAATGGAGAGCTAGGCTTTACTCATAAAGCATTCCAAATTTTAAAACTGAAAAATAATGAATCTAACAAAAAAATTATACGCAGTTTGATAATGGACGAAATGTTAATTCGAAAGCAAATTGATTAGGATGGGCATAAATCTTATGGCTTTGTTAATTATGGAATAGGCTTTTTTTTGTTTTGTATTTAGTTGCTGTTAATGAACATTGGAAGATCCCAATAGCATATTTTTTAACAGATGGAATTAATTCAAAAGAGAATGCAAACATTTCTGAATGCCTCATCAAAGTTCATGAAATTAGAGTTCAAGTTATTTCTTTAACTGTTGATGGTACAGCTGCAAATTTATCTATAATGAAAATTCTTAGGTGCTGACTTTAATGATATAAGAAATCTGAAAACATTCTTTCAACATCCAGTAAGTGCAGAAAATGTTAAAGTTAAATGTTAAAGTTAGTTAGAAATTTTTTTTTTAGGGGGCGTTTTAGGGCTTTTTTGCTACCAGGCCTCCCCCTTCTTAATTTTTTGCAAGGCCTCCTCCTCTAGCATAAGTATAAACATACTTAAGTTTGGAGTTTGCACAATGTGTGAAAGTGTCCTATCTGGAACATCAAAAAATCCTGCGGCCCTCTTGCCTTTGTGTTAATTGAGGGAAACTATACCCTCTACTCCCTATACCAAACATCTTATTATGTTGGCAAACTAGGATCTTTAGTCAGAATTTTAACTTTTCTATTGGTTAGCTGGTTAATTGTTATAAATTAGAAAATCGATATACATACTTTTAAATTGACCCTCCACCATACGCTTTTGTACGCTTTTTGAAGACCTCCCCCCTTCCCTTTATGAGCATATGTACTTTATGGATGACCCCTTACTTTGTTGTATATCATGTTAAATGTAGTACTTTGTTTTCATAGCTATAAAGCATTCTAGTCAACAGATTTCTGATGCAGTGTTGCTGATGTTATGAGTATAAAGCGTTATGAATGTCTAAGAAGGTACTTACATGCAGTGAACAATACTACAAAAAATGAACTCTAGCTAGTTATTTAAGGTCAAACCTGTTTTGGATGCTGTTTGTAATAACTGCATCAAAATTGAATAAGAATGAGACCAATCTGTAGATGAGCAAATGATACCTGCCAAAACAAAGTGCTGTGGGATTTGTATAATATATGCCAAAAAAATCCATAAATAAGGTTTCAAAAATTTTGTTAGAGCAGAAAAGTCAGGTTTCTTATAAAACTTCTTTATCTATGCAGCTGTTTTCTACATTATCATTGCTTATTGAAAATGCTTGGTTGTTATACAGAAGGCACTGTACTCAATTTTAAAAAAAGAAACAGCTATTCTTGAGAAGATACATTTTATAGGTAGCAACAGGGTTGAATATTTTAGACAAAGATCCAGAAAAAAAAGTTGGTTGTCCGAAAAAAAAGTCACTCGCATGTCAAAACACTCAGAAGAAAACCATCTAATCCCAAACTAATTTGTGATGTAAGATGTAGTGAATAATATCACTGGCCCGAAATCAAGAACAAATGGGGCAATTCAGAATATGTAACATAACCTGTTCTTTTGTTTGTTCAAAGTGTAAAATAAAGCTTTGTTTGATCAAGGATAAAAACTGATTTAAAGACTTCTATGTCGATAAAATTATCAAATTTGTATAGTAACCTATAGTAAGAGGAAACTATTTTAAAACTGCAACTTTTATTAATCTTACTAATTAACATTAAATACCTTAATCGCCTAAATTTCTTCAAAAAACATTATTTTCAATACATCTTTTTCGGCAAAGTTGCCTATTAAAAAACAGTAACAAATATAAAAAGTAGAAATATAAAAAGAGAAACTTCATTAAAATTTTTATTTTGGTATTTTAATCATAATGTGCTGGGTAGAGGGTTAATTATTTTCCCAATTCTAAAAATATGGCCTTAAAATTTATATCTTTGTTAAGACATAAACTAAAAACAATATAAACATAGACTTTATATAGAATTATATAAATTCGTTATTTCTAAAGAATTAACTGTTTATGAATGTTTATAATTTTCTAGGCGTCTTGAAAACAATTATTGCTGGAGGGAATGGAGGCTTAGCGCTTTGGTCTGCAGTGTACCCTTTTGATATTATAAAATCAAGAATGCAGGTATTGTTATTCAAAATTTTACACAGGATAAATTTCTAAGTTAATAATAATGCATTTAATTCTTTTAACCGTAGTTTTACTTATGTTAAATTTTTTAAACTAAACTTCTTAACGATAATTTTGGATTTCTCTTTTTAAGTTCATTACCAATTTTTTTGATTTTTTCGACCTCTTCCAGATTTTTTTTTTAATAGTTTTGTTATCATTCTATGTTTTTATAGCATGTTGAACAGTTTTTAATGGAATTCCCAGCTGAACAGACATCTTTTTCTTGGATATCTCTTGATTTTGCATTAAAAAAATGCAAGATGTTTTCTTCACGCATTTCTTGTTTTGAGCACATTATTAAGTACAAAATTTGATAAATTACAAATCTAATTATTTAAATCAAATAGTCATCAAAGCATAATATATCCTTTTGAAATAAAAGAACTAAAGAACTGTACTTTAGAAAATATCCGTATGTGAACTCACGCAATATTTTTTTGGAACATGTATTATTCTTTATCGGTCAAATACTATGTGCTGTCTAAGAAATGTTGTATATATAAATATTATTTATATTTTCATTGTTTAAAATTTCTATAAATATTCTGTATTGTAAGAAATACAAAAAAAAACAACCTAAAATCTATTTTTTAGGTATACTCTGCTGGTGGAAAGAGTGTTGGTATGATACACACTGTCAATATTATATACAATGAAGGAGGTTAATGGTTTAATTTTTTTTTTTTTTTTTCAGATTTGACTATTAATTTTTAATCTTTTTAATCTTTCAAACGAAACTTTATTTTTTTTAGGATTGAGATCGTTTTACAGAGGCATAGCCCCGACATTAGTTCGAGCATTCCCAGCATGCGCTGCGCTTTTTGTTGGATACGAGTACACTAAAAAGCTTTTAAATCACATTTTTTAGCAAAGTTCCTCAGTTTTTAAGTTGAAATTTAGGTTGTTTTTTTAATTGATCCATTAGCATTTAAATTAGCGATTTTCAATATTTTTTAACATGCTCTAAAAGTTTTTCAAACTATTTTTATTTGTCTTCATAAATATTTTATGTCCTTTATGAATATTTTGATCCTTGCAGCTTTAGTGACCTATTTTTGAATTTATTAATATTTAGTATGCATTAATGGAAACTTTTTTAATATTGACAAGCTGACATTAAAATTCCATTTTTTCATGGAACTTTTTTTGTGCGAAAAATTATTTATAATATTTAATTGAAAAAATTTTGTTTTTGTGCTGAAAAATTGTTTTTACTTATTTTATTTTTTTAATTTTTATTCAAACTAAAAGTAATCGACTAATTTTTAAGTTAACTAAAATTAATCGGCTAAATTTTAACTTTAACTGACATTTTTTTTTAAGTTTTTGTTTTTAGATGCCCTAATAAGTCCCAACGGTCTTATCCGTAATTTAAATCGTTAAATAATGTTAACAATGTAAAATGTATTGAATAGTACCTAACTATTAGATAATGAAAACATTTTATTAAATAGCTGCGGTCGTTTTATAAAGCAGAAACATTTTTATGACTTCAATTACTTGAAAAATGCAAAACGTAATCTTTTTGATGTACTTTTATGCTTTTTGTTCGAAAAGAGTTATTCAGTTTATTTTTTGCAAAATAACATTTTTATTGGTGTCAAAAATTTACTTTTAGTCTTAAACAAATTCAATTAATCATTTAAATATAGCTGACACAATTAAGAAAATAAATTGAATGCACTGTTCTGCAAAAACTTGCATGTGTTTTCAGAAAAATCTTTGTTGATACCATTGGTTATTGACCCCCACCCCTTTCTTTCTCTTTTGTCACTGGTTTTTAATTTTTTTGCACAACCCTTCAAAAAGATGTTATAAAATATAGACCTAATTTAAAAAAAAAAAAACTTCTTTTGATCTCATTACATATTTTATGAGCTTCTTTATGACAATCGGCTTTTTTTTTTTCGTCGGATAAGCGTTGATACAAAACATTATGACTGTTTTTATCCATCTTTTGACATGTATTATGAGCTAATAAAAGCTGCCGTAAACAAAAATGTTTGAAATTGTTGTCACACCTTTGAAAAATAAAATAAAAAATAGAGTAAAAGCGGGTCAAATGGAATAGTTGAGAGTTTTCATTCATTTTTTATTTAGAGAATTTTGAGGGGTATTTAAATATATAAAATCCAAATAACTTTTACTATGGTAGAGCGGGGCTAATTGAGCAATTTTTACTAAATCTAACAGATCTCATGAACTGTGCGTTGGATTTACATAACTTTTTAATATTTGAAAGATAATTTAACTTGATAAAAGTTTGTTTAAAAAAAAGTATAGTTTTTGATTTTTTTCAGAAGATATTGCCTCAAGTTTGCGGAGCTGCTCAACCTGCCTCATTAAGGGGGTTGCCCAAGAAATAAACTTTTTTTTGACCCTGTGAATTTAATTAACCAAATTTTGGTATAAATGGCTGGTCTCAACTGAAAAAATATTTCAAACACACCAAACCATTTTTTTGTCTCGATAACCCTATTTTATCGCTAAAATGAGACAAAAAAATGAAATATTTCAAAACACAATATCTGCAGATGTGAAGATAGTTACTACTTCAAATTTTCATCATAGCTTAAGAACGATAGTAAAATCCATTTGACACATCAATTTTTTTATTGACTCACTTAGTCAAAAGTTATGCCTCTATTAGTAAAAAGAGTGTTTAAAGCATAGTATTTTTTGTATAAATTTTACAAGTTAAGAAGTTTTTTACCTCAATAAAGAAAAAGCCTATGATGTATGGATTATATATAATATATGAGTATTTCCTGAAAATTTCAACTTATTTTATCCATTCAATCTTGAGATATCATGTTTTAAAATTTTAAAAATTATGTAAAACCATAAACATGAGAAAATCAAGTTTTTGTCTAAAATAATAAGAAAAAGATGTTAAAAACCACCAGCAGTGTAAGATTCACACTTTTCACTTTCATTCTCTTTATCCATGTACCCTTTTTTGAATGCTCTTAATTTTTTTCTTTGTTTTTTAACGATTGGACTTGATCGCTTTTCCATCCTAGTAACACGTTGGCAATCTCGTGCAATAGATTTATCAGCAGTCGCCTTTCCATGAAAGCCAAAATGTCCTAAAACTGCATTAACCCCGCCACTCCCATCATTATAATGTAAAATAGCTGAGTTAATTGAACATTCAAATGTTCTTCGTTCAATAAAAACATTCTTGGGACATCGAGTCCATACAACTGAGTTGAACGATTCATTAGTGTTTTGAGTTTGCCCGTGAACGCATTTGTTCAATAACTCGTCGTCTGATAAACTTACAAAGATCGGTTTTAAAAGGTAATGAATGGACATTGGTAAACTAATGGTGTTTTTGAATGTTTTTGTCTTATTAGTCTTATCTAACTGCCATTTGCACCAAGAAGTGTCATCACGTGGGCACATTTCATGTCGCTGGTTCTCATCGGTAAACGCAGTACAGTGAAACAACACTGAGCCGATTGCTTTTTTCATGGCATAAACATTGTTTAAGTTGTTTCTTATTGCTTTTCCATAATAGGTTTGCTTTGAGTTAATTGTTTTTTCAGTCAACTTCCCCTTTCCTGATATGGGATTCTTTGTACCTTTATGTGATTTCACAAGATTTCTAAGACGAGTACCTAAGCGCTTCTGAACATGCCCAATACATTCCAATTTGAGAGGTGTTATACCAAAATCTTTATAGGGATTTGCTGCTATGACTTCTTTATAAGACGAAGAATCTCCATCACCTAAATATTCTTTGTAAATAAGGCTGTTCTTTTCCACAGAACGTTCAAAGATTTTAACAGCACCAGCCCCCTCCATAGCACCAGACGACTTAACATGATTAATATTACATACATGTTTTGCTTTCCATCTATCATAACTTGATGAACCTTTTTGTTTATCCCACATAAGGCAACCCTTACAGTGTTTAGAAAAAGCTTGTACATCAACTACTTTATCTTCAACAATACCAGTAACAAATCCATTAAGAGATGAATGGCCTCTTTTCTGCCACGCTCCATCTATTTTTATACGTTGTTGTGTTGGACCATCAGAAGAATCTTGAAGATCCTCTGCAGCTTTTTTCATGCTTTTTAAAGCTGCATCATTGTATGCTTTATATATTTCATTTGAGTTTAGGTTATCAAAAGCGTTTTTGGCTAAACCATACATGTTCATACATTGAGTAAATGTGTTTATACTTGAATGACCTCGACCAATCTCTCGAAAAGCTATCACCGCTCTTGCATTTGCTTCAAATATACTTCTTCCAGTGGTATTACTGCTATTCTTTACACATTCTTTAGATGAATAAACAGTATGACTCCATTGGTCACAAGATGTACATTTTAACTCGAGATTATGTGAAAATCCCATTCTTTTTTGTGTGTTATCAAATAAATTAATGGTTAGCATATGACATTTTGGACAAGCTATCTCTAAAAATAGATTTTTGAGAACAGAGAAGTTAATAAGGATATTATAGTCATACAGGTCTTGACACTCAGAATGATTCTGAATACCCATATTTAGTTTTTTTGCACTAGAACACATGCTTATTGTATTTAAACTGTTTGTTTTGACCAATAGATCATTTTTTTGCTGTTTTCTAAAATGATTGAGAGGAGCCTTTCTTTTAAGTTTTCTTGCATTATTTTGCTTATTTCCTTTTGCCATTATTATATATTTAAGTATAAAAGAGTAAGAACCAAGAAAAATACAAATAAGTCATTAAACCACAATAAACATTCATAAAAATCTAATAAATAGTATATTTTATGTTGCATCACGTTGGTCAAAACGAAAAATATCCATTCAAATAATGACTTTTAGTTTATTAAAATCCATAAAACCTAAGATACACCAAACGACATTACTTTGATACGCAGTTGATGATTATTTGAAGAGGTAAACCCAAGATATTTGACACTTCAATTGAAGTCACAAATGAAGAAAAATGTCAAAAACAAAAATGTGAAGAAAAAACTTTATATACCACTATATAAAAATTAGAAATAAAAGACTTTATATAAATTATACATATGAGATTCATATACCATTTTAAAGAGGATAAAATTCTGCTCATAAAAAACATTTAAAAAAAAAAAAAAATTTCAAAAAAAATCAAGATTTATTTCTTGGGCAACCACCTTAAGGTAAACTTGGCAATAGTATGTGGTAAGTTGAGCAATCAACAAATAAATGAATGTGCATGGTACAAAATTTGAGTGAATCATCAATAAAACTTTCACTAACAGTAAGCGTGACGTAAACGTGTGTTTAATTTATAAACTTTTTATTTTATACATTTTAATGGCGTAAGAAAGAAAAGAGAAAAAATCTAACAGAAAGGAATTGTCATAAAATATAAAAATATTATTAATTTTGAAAATATATATAAATAATTTACTTCTAAATTATTTCTTGTCAAAGTTGTTTCCTTGTGTTCAAAAGTTATTTAATTTTTTTTTTTTTTTTTTAAAGTTGTTCAACTTACCTCTAGTATTGTTTAGTAGGGGTAAGTTAAGCAACTTTGAAAATAATAAATTAACTTTTGTTTAACTTATGTGAAATTAAAAATATCCGTTTTTCTCTAAGTCTTATTGTTCTCTTTAAAACCTAACTAATGTCATTAGTTAGGTTTTAAAGAGAACAATAAGACTTAGAGAGAAAAATGTCTGATTTTAATCGAAAGTCCTATAATATGGTAAAATATCAACACTTAAGTAATGGCAGATAAAAAAATTGTTAAACATCCAAAAGATAAAAAAGAAAGAAAAAAATTTTCAATTTTTTTGTACATAATAGAAAAAGTACCCGTATATCTTATTCGACTGCCTTCCAGCAATCTTTTGTTGCGTGTTGTGTTAACATTGCGGGCGTGGCGCAATGGTTAGAGCGCTTGCTTTATAACCATATAAAGCAAGCGCTCTAACCATTGCGCCACGGGCATATTTCGCGTCACGGTAAGAAAGGAGGCGTGAACTTCCTGGTTAAATGCACTTCCGCGGTGTTCTGTGACAAGACCGTAAAGACTTTTTGGGGCACCTAAATAACAAAAAAACAAAAAACAAAAAAACATTCTTCCTCTCTTTTATCCATTAGATGTTTTATCATGTGATGTGTAGTTTTGAGATATTTTAAATGCCCAACTTGTAACTATGCTTAACTAGCCCAGCTCTGCCCTAAGTTCTTAAAGAAAATTTATTTAATGGACCTTTCCCCAT